CCAACCCAGAACCCTCTGGTCCTGGTTCCCCCGGGACTCCAACCCAGAACCCTCTGGTCCTGGGTCCCCTGGGACTCCAACCCAGAACCCTCTGGTCCTGGTTCCCCCGGAGACTCCAACCCAGAACCCTCTGGTCCTGGTTCCCCCGGGACTCCAACCCAGAACCCTCTGAAGCTGAAGCTGACCCCCAGGTGAAGGAGGGAGGAGCCAAGAGCAGGTTCAGGGTCCAGCTACTGAACAAAAACCAGGGAGAGGAGGAACCAGAGTCCACAAACACAGCAGAGGAGTTTGATGGCATCAAAAACAAACAAAAAAACAGGTCCATGTTTCCCCTTTTAATCCCAAAACATCTGGAACTGAGGGAGCCAGCTTTTGGGGCTTTGTCTGGAGAAGGAATCTTTTGTTTCTCAACAGATGAAACATCTGGACCAAAGATCTGGTCCAGCTTTGTCTTGCTGAAATATTCAAACCCCTCCCTGATCAGGATGCTCCGGTCAGCATGGACGGTCCCAGATGTGGAAAACCGGATAAATACAGAAGCTTTTTTTAACAAGACTCCAGCTTGTGTGAGAAACCCGGTCCTCCCTGAAACCGACCCACCGCCAGGCTCAGAACGACCTGGTTCCCCCCCCACCTCCTCGTTAAGAGCCCGATCTCCTCAGAAGCCTCTCATTAAGCAGTACCACTACAATGATAATAATAATAATAACCGGGTTCTGGAGGGATCGGGGAACTGAGGAAGGGGCCAGAGGAATGTCTCTCTGCAAGACCCGACAGGCATCCAGAGCCCCGAGCCCCGCTCACTGGGACTGAGATGAGGAGATTTCTGCTTAATCCCAGACTCACAAACCACTTCAGACACATCTGGAGTTGAGCTGAGTGATTAAACCAAAAACAAGGCCTTAGAAATATATACAAAACAGCAAAAGGGTAGAAATAATAGTGAGGTTGGACACTGAGAACTGAAAAAAGTATCTAGAAAAGTAGCTTTAATGGTACAGAATCCAGATAAAAATGACTCTAAAAGGCCCAAACGTGTCTGAAGTTGAATCTTATCCGGGGGGTTGGATTACAAAGAGAGGATGTGAGCACAAAGGGGAAAACCAGTCAAACAAATCATCTCCTGGGGGCCAATAAAACCTTCCTTCAAAGCCAAAAGACTAAAAAATGACCTGTCAGAAGCCTGAGAGCCGTCATCTCTCATTTTATGTGAGAAACGCATAAAAAAGGCAAAGTTTTGCTTTTTCTTTGCTCATATGTTCAAATTTTTCCCTCCATATGAAGCCCCGATTCTTCCATAAACGTTGGCGGAGTCGAACATCCTCTCTTAACTTCTATTGGCTCTCCCAGTGGCTCTCCTATTGGCGCTCCCATTGGCCCATTGGCATTCCCATTGGCGCTCCGCTTGGCCCTTCCATTGTTGCTCCCTTTGGCTCTCCCATTTCCCAGTGGGGCCCCCATTGGCCCTCCTATTGGCGCTCCCATTGGCCTATTGGTGCTTCCATTAGCGCTCCCATTGGTGCTCCCATTGGCCTATTGGTGCTCCCATTGGTGCTCCCATTGGTGCTCCCATTGGCGCTCCCATTGGCGCTCCCATTGGCGCTCCCATTGGCCCATTGACATTCCCATTGGCACTCCGCTTGGCCCTCCTATTGGCGCTCCCATTGGCCCAGTGGGGCTACCATTGGCTCTCCCATTGGCATTCCCAGTGGGGCCCCTATTTGGCCTATTGGCACTCCTAGTGGTTCTCCCATTGGCCCATTGGCTCTCCCAGTGGCCCATTGGCCCTTCCAT